AGCAACTCGTCAATGACCCGAAACAGAGGCATTGTGTGAAGTGAACATGATAGGCGAGCGCAACACGATACGGTTCGATGTTAAAATGTTCTTCAAGTACAACTGAAAAAGAGATTGAGGCAGAAAGAGCTGCGGTTGGTGCAAGGATAACCATTTCATATATGGATTCCACCACTGTGTGAAGACCAGGATAGGAAGAAACAAATAGAACATTTTGCAATGGAAATAGGATACGCCTATTGAGCGTTGGATCGACTACTTGAACTTGAAATTTACAAAAAAACAGAGGCTCACCACAGTCTATGTCAAAAATACGTGGACAGTCAACATTTTCCCCCTAGTTTCATTATTGCAAGTTATGCAAATGAAATGAAACTTGAAGACATTCTCAACGGAAAATTGCATAGTTGTTTATCATACTGCTAAAAATGGAAATTTGTCAAGTGTATGTGGAAACATTACCCGACAAGTTATAGGAATACTCCAACTATGACCAAAATCGGACTCTCCCGATTCAGTTTCTGGTACTTGTTGGTGAGTAGCGGAGGTCTCTCAAATGGCAATATACCCCACAGCTTCATATCCAGTAACAAGATGAAAAGCTTATTATGGCTTGGTCAGATAATTTACAGAATTATCGGCATGGAATCAGCAAAAATAACTAGCAATACCGAGTATCACGAAGACCTGGGATCGATAACAGACTGCGGTACATTTTGCGCAGCTCGTTTGCATCAGATAGTAAAGATATATTGTCCGCTTGCGAACAAGCACTTAGGACAGTCTTGTCGTACTCTAATGGAGACAGTAAAAGATGGCGAAAGTTCGTCATAGAACTTAACCAGACATGAGGGATGATAATACGAATTGAGGATTGATATATGCTCCTCAGTTACCCCATTTTTCAATGAACAGTTTCATAGTACAATCTCATCAATGGAATCGAAGGCAGCGCAGATGTCCAAGGAAATAATGATTGTTGTTCTGTGGAGAGCGTGACGGTATCCTGGCAGATGTCGGAGATTTTAGCGGTACATTTGCGAAGGGCACGGCAAATAAATCTGCTCCGCGCAGGTCAGCTCATCACGCGTATTGTACAAACTACGAAGAACGACGGATGATAACAGCTTTAACCAAAATAGGATTAGGCTTAACCCCTGTCCGTGGCGCAGACATTGTGTGAGCCGCTTTTAAAGATAGAGATAACAACTGACGACGCCCTCCCTCTCCTTCTTATAGTGTTAAATCGTGCAGTTCTCTAACAAGCTTCCTTCTGCCATTTTTGAACAGGATTAAAAACCGCATCAAATAGAAACTATTATGTTGAGCAGAATATATGTAATAAGCTACGATAAGTTTCATCAATCTTCTAATGAGACTCTGCGAAGAGTCAAACTGAATGTGACTATCAAACTGAGACAACCATTGATAGAACTGACGTTTCCGAAAAACCTTAGTAGCTACATAAGCAACACTGAAAGGCACTCTGTCAACTTCTTCGTAAACTCAAAACTGTTCAACAGAATACTGAAGAAATGAGGAATAAAAACACCTGGTGTTGCAATCTCGTGTTGCGTACACTCATTTACGTGTTTCTGTGGAACCACGCACATGGTCAGGCGAATGTCCGAATGGACTCTCTTTGTACTGCCTTTCATCACACACGCCCCTACTCTAAAATGATTGTCGCGGGTGTACCACCGCTCCAATTCTTTACCATTTACCCATCTTCCTTGAGGACCCTGATTGATCCGAAAACTGTCGTTTTTCCTGGTTAGCGACCGAAGCAAGAATGGGGTTCATCCGACCAGACGCGCAGAAGCAGCGGCGGGAAATGCCTTGCGAGACAATGTTGATTGCCACCCGAAACGAACGAATCGACAATTACAGCCAGTCAGAAAATCCGCAGCTAACGGGAAAGATACCCACTGAATGCCACAACCTCGGAGCTGTCGATCAACGCATCTCGCACCGCGATCGGGTCAAACCAGTCGGAATGGCACGCGTAAGAAGAAGCAACGTACGTGCCAAGTGCAGGACCAAGACCAACAAGGAATGACGCAAATAAAGAGGCATGAATCATCCCACCGCGCGGTTGAGAATTGACTGTATGTAATCAAACGCATATACTGTTTGCTTTTGAATTGGATCAGCTCGCCTTCTCGCTACGCTAGGCGACCCAGACTCCTGGTCAGGGTTTTCATACACTCATGCCAGGTCCTAGCTTGACTACCCTTGACTTTCTCCCACCCAACACTTGTCTCGGCGAACATAGCTCGCCGTGGCAACCTGCTTTTTTCCACTCGGTATCTGCTTCTGCGAACATCGCTCGCCGTGGTAACCTACCTGGTGACATGCGTAGTCATGTCCCCAAACCAACGTAATCTATGGAGGTCGACCACTTGCTCCAGTGGGCGACCGCGGATACCCAAAGCTCTGCGCCTTTCCTCAGCATTGCTCGTCCGGCTGCTCCACCAGATTCGTGTAATGACAAGTGTACGTAGAGCAGTTTCAACAGGAAAATCGAAGAGCACGCCATTTGGTTAAAGCAAAATTAATCGCGCAGTCAATCATTCTTTCGGACACAACGAAATCCAAGTAGGGAAAAGTGAAAGATAAGTGGAAAATATTTATATTAACTAATTGGTTGTTAGGCCTGGGATGTGCATCACATCGAAGGCTAAACATGGATTCTGTACAATGGGTATGGGACCAATGGCATTTGGTACAACCGTGAACCATTCAACAGTGATGCTGAATGTTCAATCTAAGTTCTGACGTGGATAGGATTGCCGTCATTATCACCACCATGGTCCACATCATTATCTTCGTCATCGGAAATTTCAATGAACATTGAGGGTTGAGCAGGCTGTCTCACTCGAGAGGTGATCGAGGGGGATGAAGTACGAGCTGTTGCACGAGTCAGAGTGTCATGTGTATCACCAGTAGCATTGTCAACAATGTGACTATCGTCCATCGCATCTGTATCAGTATTACTCATGGAATTGCCATCAGTTTCAGTGTACACGACGAAAGCCGGTAAGCCAGGCAGATCAGCGTAAAAATCTTCCAGTACATCCTGGAGCGACATAACGGCTGAAAGGGATTTTGGAGAAACAGAAGCGCGATTTTTAGATAAAAGAAGCGGGAAGAAAAATACACGGGTGAATATGTGTGTGGCGTTTCCAACTGCTAAAGAGTAGAAGTCCGTTCACGTCCGATACAAGTGTCACAGCACCCGTGGAATAAACTAGACTGCAACAATTGTACGAATGTTCTATACGGGCAAATAAACGAAACTATGGGAAAACAAACTGCAGTCAATGCAAAGAATCACTCACCACGGCGCGTCGCCTCGCGTGCATATGGATCCTTCGGTAAAGCGATGCGCTTTCTCGGTCCAGCAGAGGCGAGTTTGTTGGACAGACAAACGGTGAGATTTTGAACTCGGGATAATGGTGGACTGGGCAATCCATCTCCACCGGAGAGCGCAGCACGAGCCACTTCACGAAGGGCTTGTTCCACCACAAGCGCTTGCTCTAACATGCGCAGTCGAGTGAGCAAAAAGCCATGAGGTTTCGAGAGGCCTTGCAAAGCACTGGGCACTTGAGCTATATGAAAAACAAAAAATAGAAGGAATGGTCAGGATTTTACTCAGGATCACTGAAACAAGAAAAAGGCAAAACGAAATGGGGAAATATGCATTTATCTGGCCACGGTGCATGAATCAAAAATAATAAAATGATGATGAAGTCTATCAAATTGTGATTGCAATCATCGGACAGTGCTTTTCCAGTAACGAGGAACCAAGTCCAAAATATACAAGACTATGGGATCCGTAGAGCTGTACTACTACACCTTTTCCCATCAAGCTTTAGCCAAAACCCGAAATGCTTTAGCCAAAACACACAATCCTTTAGCCTTGACCTACATTCCATGTTTTCAATGGGTTCCTATCAAGCTGCTCTACACTAATCGCTGCTGAGCAACCGGGTGTCCCAGTAGTTTTTATCTTTAACAATGCGCCCGTTCATCGGAGAGCT